GGAATGACTCTTGGATTTCTGGCTTAAGGAAATAGGCTGGTAAGTCAGAAATGACTCAACTATGAGCATGTCAGGTCTTGGGACAGGTAGGAGCAGGACACACTTGGGATCTGTGGGTGGAACTTGTTTAGGCCCTCATATCTCAGCCCTAGCTCTGCTGCCTGGTCCTACTCCCTTGGGCAGAGCCGGGTGGGTGCAGCACAGGCAGCCAGAAAGAGTGGAACTCATTGGAAAGAACAACAGGTCAGTTATCTGAGAGGCTAGGCCTTATCAGAGGTGCTCTGGATGACCCTGGGCAAATCACTTCACTGTCATGCATGTGAATAGAGGACACATTTCCCAGAGGCTGAGAGCTGGAAAGGACGGATGGGGACCTTGAAACATTTCTTCATTCAAGATCCTACTCATATGCCACTTCCTCCATGTCACCCCTCCTGGTTCCCCTGCCCCCAACAACTACTCTCCACTCTGGGCTCCTAAAACCAACACCCCTGAGCACTTTCAAGGCTCTGTCTGGCCCCTGCCCACCCACAGTGCTCCTTGCCCCATGAGCCGCTCTGCTCCCCGTGGCTGCGGGTGGCTGGCGCCAACACCCGGTGAGTCCAGATGCAGCTCCTGCTGTCATGATCCTAGCCAACAGGGGAGCTGGCTGGTTTTCCTTCGAGTGAAATTCCGAGTGTGAGGCAGAACCAAGAGAAATCAAGGCATACCTGTACAACAGGGGCGCCACAGAGGGATAGTATTAATAAAGAATTTTCAAGTCATTATTAATATCCTTAGAGTGATCAGGCTGAGAAGGGTGGATGTATTTCTCCAGAGTAATTTCACAGATGCAGAAAAGTGTTTGCAGACACTCTGTGAGCCAGTGGGAGAGGTTTCCAGAGGCCCCATGAGTTACTCTTGTGGGCCCCCAGGATACTCTGGGGTTCAGGAGATGCCCTCCCACCCCAAGGAGGGTCACAGTCACCAGAAACTACCCCCTCCTGCCTCTTGCTAGGAAGAGGCTGACTGTGGCAGGGCAAGGCCTTCCCCCCAGACATCTGCAAGCTGTTCCTCTGAGGCTCTGCATGCCTCCTGGGGCAGGCTGGGCAGAGAGGGCAGGGGTTGTGAGGATACAGAAGACTCTGGTCAGTTCAGAGAAAGGGTAACCTCTTCAGATGAGAGTGGTCCTCTCAACCAGCACCACCCCTTCTCCACCCAAGGCAGCCAAGGCAGCTCAGCATCCCCTGCTCTGGCCCAGCTGGCCTCCTCTGTCCTCTTCAGAAACAGGGGGCCACAGAGCTTCTTGCCTGACGAGTTTGAAAGCTGGCACACAACTACTCCCCACCACTCCTGTGTACTGAATACCCACATGCAAATGGGCACATACATAGACATCCACAGAGACACACGCCACTCATTTCCATATTCACAAGGTCATACTCAAACACAGTTACCCCAAGTGTACATGCATGCCCTCCATAAACACCAAAGACATGCATGTGCATATACAGCTACACACACACACACACACACACACACACACACACACTGGCACTTCAAGTGTTCTGGCCTTCCAGATTTTGTATACAGCTATATACCTGGCCCCTCTTTCCACTGCAGCATTCACTTGCCCAGGCAAGGTCACTCAGCAGGACGGGGTGAGAGGGAGTCTGGGAGGGGGAGTCAATGCAGAGGTATGAAAGCCAGGCCCCACTGGGCACCTGGGTGGCTCAGATGATTAAGTGTCTGCCGTCGGCTCAGGTCATGATCCCAGGTTCCTGGGATCGAACCCCGCATCAGGCTCCCTGCTCAGTGGGGAGCCTGCTTTTCCCTCTGCCTCTCTCTCTCTCTGTCTCTCATGAATAAATAAATAAAATCTTTAAAAAAAAAAAAAAAGCCAGGCCCCATTGCCCCAGATCAGGACAACTCTTTGGGGCCGTTACCATCTCAGAGCCTTGTTACTGCTATTGGCATAGCTTCTCCTTCTACCCAGTCCTGCTTCCTTCAACCCCCCAGATGTTGATCATCAGAAGGCCCCCCAAAAGAGTCATGAGTCTGTGCGGAACTCTCCCGTTCTTTTAGGGTCTTCAGTCCTCTAGACTGGGAGAAACCAGCTCTTTTCTACCTGTAGCCTGAAGGCTGACCCACAGCATCCTACCCTCTAGTCTGGGCCTGGAGAAGAATGCCGGAGAGGATTCCGGGACAGGCTGCCAGAGGTCTGACTCGGGGCTGGGAGCAGACTGAGGATCTTCCCAAGTGTCTTTAATTGGTGACGTTGGTAAGGGAAATCTACCCTTCATCTATGCTTTTGATTCTAGTCTCAAACCCCAGCTGGCTATGGGACCTCCGGCAATTCTTGCCTCTCTGGCCTTAGATTTTCTGTATGTGTAGTGGGAAGCCTGGAACTGGGGACAAAGCTTCCTGGGACACCTGTATAAGAGCTGGCAAGGTATGGTTTAGATCTGTGCTACTCAAAATGTGGTCCATTGGCCAGCAGCTTCGGCCTCACCTGGAAACTTATTAGAATAGCAGAAGGAGAGGACCTCCCATGACCTAAGGAATCAGAATCCGCATTTTCCCAAGATGCCTGGGTGGTGCTGATGCACACTGCTGTCTGAGAAGCACTGTCCTAAATGAGCTTGGAAAACCTTTCTGTTTCTGGAGGTCTATAAGCTACAATTTTAGCAGGATCAGAGTAGAGAATGTGGGGCTTTTGGTTGAGAGGAGTTACTGATTTGCCAGGGAAGCTCTCCTTTGTCAACGCCTGGTGACACAAAATAGCTGATTTCCATAGCTAGAACCGAGTCCTCCTTGGGGACCTTCCCCTGGCTCCCTCTCCTCCATCTGATCTTTACCACGTTCTGTCTCCTCCTCTTAGCTCCTTTAAAAGATGGCTAGTGTGAGGCACCTGGGTATAGGAGCCTTCTCTCTACCTGGTCTCCCTACCTCATAAGGGTTGACCCTTCCCACCTATTTTTCCCACCAGTAATTCAAATTAGCTGTTGCACAAGAAAGTTCAATATATATATTACAGAGACCAGTATAAAAAATACACACATCCAAAATGCTGACCACTGTTAATATTATCTGTAATATGTTATGAAGCAAATATGGCAAAGTTGTATCATTCCCTCCACAAGGCAAGCACTCTCTTAAACCCTCCTGATCCTGTACTGAATGTATCCTTGGTGTATTTTTTTCAAACGTTTACATATGTTTACAAATGGCTATATGAAATTATTTTGCATTTGTTAGAATTTTATCTAAATGGTTCTGCAACTTGCTTTTTTTTGTTTTCGAGGTTTATCTATGTTGATACCTATAAATTGAGATCATTCAGGGCCTCCTAGGTTGCTCAGTCAGTTAAGCACCTGCTTTTGGCTCAGGTCATGATTCCAAGGTCCTGGGATGAGCCCCGCAACAGGCTCCTTGCTCAACAGGGAGCCTGTTTCTCCCTCTCCCTCTGCTACTCCCTCTGCTGCTCCCCCTGCTTGTGCTCTCTCTCTCTGTCAAATAAATAAGCCTTTTTCAAAAAAGTGAGCTCATTCACATCAGTAGTTCTATAGTACACCATCATGTAACTACAACAGCACATCTATTTAACTACTGATGAGCAACTGGGTTTCTCCTGTGCTTTTCTTTTGTAAACAATCCTACGAATGTGTGAGGTCTCTAAGCCCTATACTAGCCATTATAATTGCTGGGTCTTAAAAACAGTGATTGTTATGGGTTGAAATGCATCCCCCCAAAATATAGGTTTAAGTTCTAATCCCAGGTACCTGAGAATGTGACTAATTTGCAAGCTGAGTCTTTGCAGATGCAATTTCATCAACTTAAAATGAAACCATTAAGGTGGGCCCTGATCCAATATGAGTCATGTCCTACAAGAAAAGACCCAGCCGTACACACAGGAAGAAAATACCATGTGAAGACAGAGGCAGAGATTGAGTGATGTAACTACAAGCCAAGGAGCTGCTTGATGGCAAGGACTGCTGGTAACTGCCAGAATCTGAAAGAGGCAGGGAACAGATTCCCATCCCAGAGACTCCAGAAGAAATGACCCCTGCTAACACCTCGATTTGGGGCTTCTAGCCTCCAGAACTGTAAAAGAATAAGTTTCTGCTGTTTCAAATCATCCAGTTTGCGGTACTTTGTTACAGCAGCTGTAAGAAGCTAATCTAGTGCTGAAATCAAAAGTCCTGGCCTCTGGGAGCATAGGTTAAGGCCGGAGAGAGAGCAGATGAGTCTGGGACAGTCAGCAGGGGCCAGACTGGGAAAGACCAAGAATACGACCTTGGACAGGTGTTTGAATTATTCACTCAGGCAAGGAGATAAATTAAATCGTAAAGGGACACAGTTCTACTTGGGGTTTTTAAAAGTATCAGAGAAACAGCCGTTCTTTCGAGCCGACTTGATTGAATCATTCAACTTCTGATACCTCCAATGAACTCACTTTTTCCTTCAGAAATTATTAATTTCCTTCCACACACAACTACAAGGATTTGACAAACACAAGTTTGTCATTAATAACCACGGGTTATCTTGTGCTACTAAACCAGGCCGTTTTTAGACATAATCGGCTAATCTCACTTAATCCTCACAAATACCCCCACGAGACGGCCCCGTTATCCTCTACAAACATGGATAAAGAAACTCGGTTAGAAGGTGAGGCGATTTGCACTTCACGAAATATCCCCTAAAGATTGAGGACTGGCAACCTTGCTTACGGGGCTGTACGGCAGGAGGCAAATTACTTCGCCTACATCAGCCTACATTTTCCCAGCTTTTAAACTGGCGTGATAGCGGCTGTACTGTCTGGTCCGTCGTGATCAAACGAAAGCTTTTCAGGCGCTGCGAACCGCGACAAACCGCAGGGTCACCATACTCGGGGACCACGTGGCGCGAGAGTGCAGCCTCCGCGGCGAGCCCACACACAGCGCGGTGCAGGAGGCCTCGCTGTCTGCGCTCCGGGCGCCAGGGTGCGCTGTGACGACGCTCGGGACGACGGACGGCCACTCTAGCCGTCCCGGGGAAGTCGCTGTCCTTACCTTCGGCAGGAGCCCGCGCCTCCGTGTCTGCGTCCGCTGGCCCTGCGCTCTGTCCTGCAGCTACCCACTGCCTTCTTGCCGCCCACCATGGCCCTGCTGCACTCTGGCCGCGTCCTGTCCGGGGTCGCCGCCGCTTTCCACCCGGGCCTCGCTGCTGCGGCTTCTGCCAGAGCCAGGTAAGCAGGGGAGACGGAGAAGGAACCGGGGACAATAGGCCTGCCCAGACGGGCTGCGGACGCCCCAGGACTTCCACCCCTGCCCCCCAAGCACAAGCGCGGGTACCACACACACGCTTTCTCTGACGCCCCCTCGGCTTCCCTGGGGGCTGATAATTGAGCATCGGGGCCTCGAAGTGACGGTCGGGGTCCTACAGCCCTCCCCTCCCTCGCCCCCAGGACCTTAGGAGAGCGTGCCAACGCGTTCCCCGGGGGTTAGAAAGTGTGGCCCTCTACGGCACCCGGACTCCCATTCACGGGTGGGGGGGGTCACGAGACGCGGGTTCGGCGCCGTGGGGTGGGGGAGGGGTGACGAGGGGAGAACACATGGGGCTGCAGTGCCGGCCGGCCTGGCGTCGATTGGCTGCGCCCCCGAGACTGCCTCGCGCCGATTGGCTGCGGCGCGGAGGGGCGCGGGTGTCCTTGATGGGGTTCTCTGGGGCATGGCGGGACTCACCTGTCCTGGCCTCGTTCGGGTCTGAGCTGGGTTGGCAGGCCTGGGGCGTGCTGCTGGTCGTGGGCCCGGGGATAGGAAGTACATGGCAGGAAGGCTCCCGGGGCACGGCTTTCAGGTCCAGCTTTCGTTCCTGCATCCACTGACCTTGGTGCGTGGCATCCTTTCTCCCTACCCCTCCACCCCAACGCCGTGTTATTGCCTCAGTTGCCGGTGACCCCTGGGTCGTGTGGCCTTCGCTTGGAAAAGAGTCAAGGTGTAGTTCACCTCCCTTTTGTTTGACTGTACGGAGGTCGCGGTTCTTCCTCTTCACATCACTCTGCACTCATTTAGTAAGTAAATAGTTCGTCACCTGTTTCTCAGAGCCAGGTGCTGGATCAGATGCTAAGTTTCAGCGAGAGACCGGTGTCGCTCAAAGAAAAATTCAAATATGTAACTTCACACTGTGTGCTGAGTGTGCGACAAAAAAGTACGTAGTTTAGAACAAATTAGCAATTTCTTCCCAGTGGAGACCTGAGCCAGGCAATTAATTCACTCAAGAAGGCAATTTGGGGTGTGCCTGGGTGGCTCAGTGGGTTAAGCCTGTGCTTTCGGCTCAGGTCATGATCTCAAGATCCTGGGATGGAGCCCCACATCAGGCTCTGCTCAGCGGGGAGCCTGCATCCCCCTCTCTCTGCCTGCCTCTTTGCCTACTTGTGATCTCTGTCTCTCTTTGTCAAATAAATAAATAAAATTTTTTTAAAAAGGCAGAAATTTGGAACAGTATCCTAAAGTACCACGTAATGAGGAACCTAGTCTCCAACTCAACCTCCAGCTAGTTACTGGCTACAAGGAGCAAAACCTTGGCCGTTATGGGTGCCTTGATTGTTTGCATGTGGTCTTCAGGCCAGGGGAACAGTTTGTCCTTTATGCAGCCTCACACTGTTGGCAGTACAGTTTTGCTTGGGCTCTCACATTTTCTCTCTCCCTGATTTAGCTCCTCCTTGGCCACTTGTCAAGGTATGCTCTTTAAGCCAGCCTATCTAATGGACCAGACTGAGAGAGGGTTTATCATTTATGCAACTAATATGGAGAAGAGAAAGCGTTGTCTGAAATGATGGGCAAGAGAAAGTCTTTCAACATTGTAGTGATCTTAAAGTAAATACTGTTGTATAGATTTGCTTGGGTGGCTTAAAGCTTAAAGTGCTTTGTGAAAATCCCTATGGGTGTGACCTTTTAGTCATTCTTTGAGTGGCTGACTCACTTTTCTTTTCTGTCTTTTCACAATGAGAATATAAGTTCCGTGAGAGCAGAAACCTTACCGACTTTGTTCACTGATGTAAAGTCTTAAAATTATTTGAGCATCTGAAGCTGAGAAGGTGTTGTTCAGGTTTAAACAATGATAACATGATTGAGTGATAGAGCCAGATTCCGTATCTGGCAGACGGGTAACTGTTCAGACAAGGAAGTGAGAACCTGCATTGCTGCCACTGTGAAAGTGATCTTTACCAAAATCCAAAGCGAAAACATTTAAAATAAACTCAGCTAATTGAAGTTTCTTTTCTTTTCTTTTTTAAACAGCTCATTTTGGGGCACCTGGGTGGCTCAGTAGGTTAAAGCCTCTCCCTTCAGCTCAGGTCATGATCCCAGGGTCCTGGGATCGAGCCCCACATTGGGCTCTCTGCTCAGCGGGGAGCCTGCTTCCCTTCCGCTCTCTCTCTGCCTGCCTCTCCGCCTACTTGTGAACTCTGTCAAATAAATAAATAAAATCTTTTAAAATAAATAAATAAATTAGCTCACTTTACTACAAGTCAACCTTGGCAGTCACTATTCTAGAGAACTGAGGATTTATCCTATGAAATAGTTAATTGGTGTTGGGTCATTTAGATGGAACTCTAAGTTCAAATGTTTCATTTAGCTGCATTTTTTAAACAGAAAGCACTCAACATTTAACCTTGTCTTCCTGACTGCTGTGAAAACATAGTGACATGAGATCAGCCTTAATCCCAGGTCAATGAAGAAAGGAGAATATGCTCATGTATTTTGATTTATAAAATGATCTGTTCTTAATTACTCTGGTTATTTAATATTTAGTGAAATAACTAAAGTAGTATCATGAGACCTTTTACAAAGGCAGTGTGCTCTCGCTCTCTCAAATAAGAAAAATCTTAAAAAGGGGGGTACTTCTGGGTTATTCAGTTGGTTAAACGTTTGACTCTTGGTTTTTTTGGCTTGGGTCATGATCTCATTGTCATGGAATTGAGCCCCATAGTTGGGCTCTGCATTCAGTGGAGGGTCTGCCTAAAGAGTCTCTCCCTCTGCACCTCCCTATCATACTCACTAGCTCGCTCTCAGATAAATGAATAAAAATCTTGGGAGGGAAAAAAAGGCAGTGTACAATAGTAGTATAATAATCAGTATTGGAAATCAGCATTATAGTATCATCTTTGCCATTTTTAGCTTGTGATCATGAACAAATTAACTTCTCTCCTTATTTTAAAATAAGAATATGAGGGGCACCTGGGTGGCTCAGTGGGTTGAGCGTCTGCCTTCGGCTCAGGTCATGACCTCAGGGTCCTGGGATCGAGCCCGCATCGGGCTCCCTGCTCAGCAGAGAATCCGAATCTCCCTCTCCCTCTGACCTTCCTCCGTGCTTGTGCGCTCGCGCGCGCGCTCTCTCTCTCTCTCTCTGTCTGTCTTAAATAAATAAATAAAATCTTTAAAAAAGAAGAAGAAGAAGAATGTGAGGAAAAGCATATTTTTAAACTACAAAGCACCAGAGAGGTTCTCAGAAAAAATTGCAAGGCCTTTGAATTAGAAATATTTTATTTGAATAGTTTTTACCTAACATGTTTTGGTTTGCTGGTCAGCATTGCTCAATGGCTGAGGCTTTGCATTTATGTCCAAAGTACTTGGTAGGAATCAGTTTGTAGGCCACAGGTTATCACCATCAGTTTTGTCCCTAGAACATTCTTGTTTTCATCTATTACTGTCCCTTGAAAACATCATGGTTCTTACATTGTGTGCATAGAGTCTTTACCCTTTTAAGGAATGGAGGATGAAGGGCACAGAGATTCTGAACATGATGTAGAACTAATCGAATCGAGTGTCCCTGCTCCTATATTTAGATTAAGATTCAATATTGTAAAATTGCTTTTAGAATTTTTAAAAGATACCACTCTTTTTTTTTTTTAAGATTTTATTTATTATTTGACAGACAGATCACAAGTAGGCAGAGGGGTGGGGGAAGCAGGCTCCCTGCTGAGCAGAGAGCCCAATGTGGGGCTGGATCCCAGGACCCTGAGATCATGACCTGAGCTGAAGGCAGAGGCTTTAACCCACTGAGCCACCCAGGTGCCCCAAAAGATAACACTCTCGATGAGATCTCTGCCAGAAAACTCAAGGGTATAGTTTCAGTGAGAATCTCTATGCTCAATAAACTTTTGAAAGAACTTGATGGGGGTGCCTGGGTGGCTCAGTGGGTTAAGCCTCTGCCTTTGGCTTGGGTCATGATCTCAGGGTCTTGGGATCGAGCCCCCTGTCGGGCTCTTTGCTCTTCGGGGAGCCTGCTTCCACCTCTCTCTCTGCCTGCCTCTCTGCCTACTTGTGATCTCTCTCTCTCTGTCAAATAAATAAAATCTTTTTTGAAAAAAAAAAGAACTTGATGAATAAGTACTTTTCACACCATTTAATAAGAATGGTGCCTTCTGTCCTTGTAGCTTGAGGCAGCAGTCCTGTCATTCTTGGTTAAAGGCCTTAGAGACAGAGATATCATTTTTAAAAATGAAAATTGCTTATTGGATGTTTTCTATAATATGTCCTTGACATTCAAAGTATTCCTTTCACTCATCAGTTAATGACAGTGATGTATAGAGGCAGGTGGCTACATGTCTTCAGGATCTGAATTGTGGGTAGGAAATAAAGGAAGCTTTCTTCAGGCCCAAGTCAGAAGTTGCTTCGAGGTATTTGTTTCTTACAGTTGCTTAGACACTGGAACAGCTAAGCAGCCTACAACAATGAAAAAGAAGAGAGGGATTTTGAGTCCTGGCAATAGAGACAGTGAGGAAAAAGGATGGTAATAATGTCCCCCAGGACTGTAGAAAAACTAAGAAGAAGTAATTGAAAAGCAAGAAAGATCTGTATTTGGTCATAAAAGTTATGACCATATGATTCTTGACTTTTACTTACATACTTGCCTCATCAGATACCATACTCGGGGCACGATAGTTATAAATGAAAGCATAGAAGTAATAATTTAGTAGCAATGATACCAGCTAACAGCAAACACTCACTCTGTTCCAGGCTGTCAGTGTTTTATATTTAATAACTCCCTTCTACTTCTGGGGCGCCTGGGTGGCTCAGTGGGTTAAAGCCTCTGCCTTCGGCTCAGGTCATGATCCCAGAGTCCTAGGATCAGCCTGCATTGGGCTCTCCACTCAGCGGGGACCATGCTTCCCCCTCTCTCTGCCTGCCTCTCTGTCTACTTGTGATCTCTCTGTCAGATGAATAAATAAAATCTTAAAAAAAA